CCACTTAAGACATAAACTGTGTTTAAGTAAATACTCTCCAAGCCGGCCATTTGGACATATTTTGTGTGTATTTGATCGTTTGGACATGCGCCCGAGCTCAAAGTGTCATTTGTTTGTCTGTTTTGGAGCGCGTCGCGCTCACACATTTCAGCCTGAGGAACAGCGTCTCTTGTGCGGATTGTGCTTTCAACATTTTATTATCAAACCTGTCCCGCAATTTAGCAGCAGTAAAGACGGCATCTTACAACAATCACCGATTGAGCTGATTCTGACGTTAAGTTTGGGTTTTAGGGAGGAACGAATGTGCACTGCTGTGAAGGGAAAGAAGTTGCGCTAGAAGAAACGCAGCTAGTTTTTAATAGCTTTACCTCATGTCTTCTTTTGTATAATCCTTAGAAGCCAAAATCGAAATAAAAAAATAAAATTAGCTTAATAAAACAGCCACAGGCCTAAAGTGTAAGCAGATGTTTGAATGTTTAGTTCTCTCTTCTATCATAATTAAACAGGGCTTTCATGTTGCGCGTGCTGAAGCTCCTCTGCGTGGGCGCGATCTCGCTTCTGAATTGTGAATAGCAAAAATGCATCATAGACAAATGTTTGAAAAACAGCTGGCGACTCTGGTGAGATAGAATTTGCAAGATAATGTATATATAGCAATAATATATGTATGTGTGTTTTATTAATTTCTCCAGTACCGATAGCAGAACCGTTAACGTCAGAGCTTATCGATACTCCGATCTTTCATAATTTAGCCCCGGTACCGATTAAATACCGAGTTTCGGTACCCATCCCTACCCATAACCAACCACTTACAGTGGCAATGTTCATGTAGTATTTGGCTTTACTGACCATATTTAAACACTTCACACAGACAGCATATGCTCACTTTTAAAGCAAAACATTAAAGAGGTTTGTTAAGTTTTACATCTGTAAAACAACAAACAATCTAAAACAACTGTTTTACTGTTCATAAATGTATTTAGATACTGTGTGGATGTCAAAAGTGTAATATGTTCATCATTAATGTGATAAAATATGCTTTAGGATAGCTGACGTTAAATATTTTAAAAAGAAACTGCTGTATAAAAGTATTAAAGATGCATTAAATTGACCAAAAGTGAAAGTAATGACTATTACAATGTTTTCTATTACTCAAAGAATCCTGATGAAATGTATCATCGTTTCCACAAAATTATTAAGCAGCACAACTTTTCATTATTGATAATAATAAGTGTTTCTTGAGCACCAAATCAGCATATTAGAATGATTTCTGAAGAACCATGTGACACTGAAAACTGAAGTAATAATGCTGAAAAAGAATTCTGTCAGAGGAACTCAATTTTAAAATATATTTAGAATAAAATAAAAACTACTTCTATATATAAGTAGAAAACAGTTATTTTACATTTTAATAATATTTCACAATATTACAGTTTTTACTGTGGTTATCTTCAAATAATATAACAGCCTTGGTAAGCATGAGAGACATAAAAATGGGACATGACACACTTAACAGAACAATCCCATCTTGAAAATTGAGACTTTTCTTTCATTTGGTCACACAGCGACAGTTTGTTTGCATTCAGTGTAGGGCTGCACGATAAATCGCATGCGATATTTAATGCGCATCTTGTCAGAAAGCCGGTTCTGTAATCAGCGGCAAATCTCCATCACCTGCGGGCTTTCACATTGAGCAGCATTAACTACACAGAGCCGTTGTTCACTGACGAGCTGCGCAAAAAATCGCGCGAATATGAATGTGGTTTTGCGCAGCTCGTCGAAAGAACGCACGTGATGGAGATTTACAGCTGATTACAGAACCGGCTTTACTGATAAGATGCGCGTTAAACATCGCATGCGATTTATCGTGCAGCCCTAATTCAGTGTGTCACTTTGCTTTTTTGTCACTATAGTACAACCAACCTTATCAGCTCTATCAGACCAATAAAACCAGCAAAACACTCTGCCATCACCAACCATTAACTTCATCTGACCACGTAAACACAGCTTACCTTTCAGCAGAGGTAGCTGCACCAGCTCTATAGGCTTGTCCTGAGATCTGAATTGGGACGAGCTCTGTGCTCGCTTCTGCCTGGCTTTCCTGACAGACTTCCTGGAGAAGCCGTCCACCTTGTCCACTGATGGGGCTGTGGTGGCTGCTGAAGACATAGCCCTGTGCCAGAGAGAGTTTATGGGCAACAAAGAAAGAGGAAAACAGAACAGTCAGGGATAATGTGCAGAAAACCATTGAGATTTTGAAGCGTGCATCGAATGGGCAATTTACTATCCCATGATGAGGCCACAGGTGAGGGGTTGTGAATGGCAGTGAATACATATTCAGATGCTTGGCTTTACTGAGCAGCAGAATATTCAATCTAAATGACAAAAGCAAATAAGCTTCCTATGGAGGAGGCATTTTAAGGCATCACAGACACGCTCTAGATGAAAAGTCTGTTACGAATTAAAATCCTCATCCAGTCATGATCAGGACAGACATGCACTCGAGCCGTCAAACTCTACCTGCTTTGGCCTTTCAAATTCAATGTTAGTAAACAGCGGTGGGCCATTACAGGTTAAATTGTACTAAGGCAGGTGTCCCTGAGGCTTCTCAGCCTTACGTAAGGGCTCAAAACACACCCACAGGAATGCCATGCACTGGGATTACCATGGGACGGATGCGACAGGAAGTGATGAGGCTTTAGTACTCCTCCCAGGCAGAGCAGGAAGTGGAGGAGTAGCAGAAGGAGGTGGGGACTTCACATTGTACACGTTTAGCAAGGCCATATATCTCCACTAGAATGAGGAGGAGTAGCAGCATGTAGCGTTGGACAAAATGATGAGCAACAAAAAATAAAACAAACCCCAAACAAAAACCAAACAATGAAACAAAAAAAAACAATAAATAAATATTAAAATAAATATCAAAAACAAAAAGCAAAACACAAAAAACACGCAAACAATAAAAACAAACAAAAATCATAAACAATAACAAAAATAAAACAAAACAAAAAACAAGAACAAAAACCCAAATCATAAAACAAGCAAAAATAAAAAAACAATACCAAAACTAAACAAAAAGCAAAACAAAAAACACTAAATAAAGCAATAAATAAATATTTAAATAAATATCAAAAGCAAAACAAAAATAAAAACATGCAAAGAACAGAAACAAACAAAATAATAAACAATAACAAAAATAAAACAAAACAAAAAACAAGAACAAAACCCAAACCATAAAACAAGGGCGAAAAAACAATACCAAAACTAAACAAAACGAATTGGAAATTACGCTGGTTCTACCATGCCATGTTTTTAAATGCTAAAAAAGACTGCAATGAAGAACGTAATGAAAATCATTCATCCTGAATAAGAGCTAAAATGTTAACATCCTGACACTTTGCTATGGTAGGAGCCGGATGAGAGTAACAGACTGATTAATTTCACAACAGGCGCAGATACTTTGTTCTCCAGACTGTATCTACAGGGGGTCTATGGATGTGACCTTCTGTTCTGCCCTGTGTCCTACATTTTTGGACACGCATCAATTTCAGCTCCAGCTTACCAAAAAGAAACCTAACTGAAGACCAGAAAAAGGGGGCCATTAGTGTATCATCAGTTTATAAATACTCAATGGATTAGATATTAAAACACACATTAATTATCATTAATAAGAATAAAATTAGCAACCAGTATAACACACACAGTATAATCCACACTACAATGCAAACATATGCATTACAATGCAAAGGCTTTTCACTTATTTAAATGACTGTACAATATATTACTGTATTACTGACCTGAACCTTCACTGGCTCAAAGTTAATGATCTAGGGCCTTTCGCTTTCTTCTGGATTCCTGCAAGGGGTGTTGGCTAACAGAGACCTCACAGTTTCGGAGTTACACAGTTACAGAGTCCTCCAACAATGACAAGCAAACATCTACCAATTAAAAACCTCTTATCTGCTGACAAGGAAGAAGACGACTCGTCTGAAAGTTAGAGTAATGAAGACACAAAATATTCCCTTAAGTCTACTTATCTGGTAGTTTGAAAGTTTGCCGATTCATCTGATCTGCCCTGGCCTGATATTGCTTGTGTTTCTTACCTACCTGTGTTGAATCTCCAGATTTGCCTTCTTTAAAGTTGTCAAAATAAAAGGCCTAATTTGCACAAAAACAAAAACATGTGTTTTGCATATCCAGTGGCTATGATAAGCAATTGTCACTGGGTATACATAAAAATTTTTGTTTTCATGGGTTTAATAGAACAATAGGTAGAGAACTAGATAAAGCTTAACTCTTTAACTCATTTGGAAAAATGTCCACTTAAAAATAATTAAATTTTCAATGTACAATAACACAACTAAATGCATTCATTTTATGTAGTCAAACACTACTCATGCAACCCAATATAGACTTTCATGTTTTTCAATACAGTTTCAATAGAGACTTTGTCATTTTACATAAGACAAATGCCCTTGGCGTCTAAAAACAATTATGGCTAATTCTGTAACATACAAAGCAAAAGGGCACAGCCTCCAAAACGAAAGGCCATGACATACATTTAAGCAAGATCTTATGCCTAATAAACACTCTTTGCTAATAAATTTCACAACTGAGTGTGTAACTGTCAGTTATCAGGTTGATAAATGTGAGGCTGCCATAACACCAGTCATAAACTAAAAGGACTTCGGAGGCAAAGCCACGCCATGTAGGGAAGTGTTTCTGCCATCCTTATTGCTGCTTGTGAATTGAAAAACAAGAACAAGTCGTTTAAAGGGGTCATATGATGTTGCTAAAAATAACATTAGCAAATCTTCCCAGATCGTGACGTAGGTATGTGGGGCGTGTTAGAACGAGCCGTTTTAGGTAGGCGTGGTTAACTCTTAACTTTTATAAAGAATATCTCTTTGGTTTTGAGACTTTAGTCTTTACAACTTTACAGATCTTCTTTATGCACCAAGAGCTTGTAACACTCCAAAAATTGAAATCGCATCATATGACCCCTTTAAGAAAAGTAAGTTACATTTAACATTAATCTCAACCCAAACTGTAATATAAAAGATCACCAATCTGAAATTATTCAAAACATCAACTCATCTTTAGATGCTGACAAGTTTTCAGTGATCTGTTTTTCATATGATGAGCCACATGTAGCCCATGGATGCCTTACCAAAACAGAGATGAACTTAAGACCACGAGACCCTTATGTAAAAGTGAGCTTTGAAGAACAGCCGACTGCTTTTCCATTCTGCAGATGTGTTTACATTATGGTGACTCTAATATGGCCCTAGACGGCCTGCCAATACGAGCCTGGGATTTAAAGTGCTGAGAAACAAAGCACTGCACACTTAACCACGGTCCAGGATTTATTCCCCATTCATCTAACAGTATTATAAATCAGCGCTCAAGATACCAAGTTGTTTATTGGATGTTCAAGGTTTCATACACAAGGCCTTCGCATACATAAGAGAAAGACTGTGATGTTTAAGTCCATTAATTGAACATAAAATGTAAGCGCACCTTCTTCATAGACTGAACTATTAAACTTCTCACGCCATGTCAAGCCAGGAAATAGCAACTGAACAGTCAGGACTTGGACTTGGCTGTTCTAAAGCATGAAATGTCATCTATTGAAGCGGTTCGGTTATACATTTACTTATTAAAAGTGTAGGATCATTGTTATACAACATGACCCACATTCAGTTAAGCCTCGGCTCACAAACGGACACCTTGACGTCCTCACAACCTCCAGTAAAACACCCTGGCAAAATACAGAATTTGTTTTGTTGTGACTGTGCAAAGTTATCCGATTTTTAGAGGCGGCAAAGGAGCTCCAAAATATTACACCCCCCTACATCACGAACAGGACGTGGACACTGCTGATTTGTTTTTTTTCTCCAGACAACAGCAGTGCAAAGAGCGTGTTCTTCTAGGTGGTTGATTCACTACAGAAACTGATGTGCTTACATATCCTGAAGTGTCCTGCTGGGGTTTTGTAACCTAACATTTTTTAGCCTCTCTCTTGGAGTTCGTTTAGATGGGTCAAATAAAAATAAAAAAAATCTATATTTCTATGCCTGACCATCACCATACAACTATTTTTTGAGGGGACTAGTGGCAGTTCTCTTCCACTTTATGTTCTTGGTTAAATTAAAACATGACTCAAGACAAAAAAAAAAAACACAACTTGTTGCACCATTTCTGTAAAAAAAAGACAATTATGAATAATTATGACCACAATTATTATTTTAGTCATTAATTATGTATGATGATTATTCCTAAAAAAAACTACTGTTTTTCTTTCAATTGTATTGGGAATTTTAATGGATACATTCATACATTCAATTATTTTACAATGGTGAATAACCGGAGAGCAACAGCTGCTTTAAGAACAAATTGAAAGCTCTGTACGACTCTCAGTGCAGACAAAAAGTGACAATCACACGTGAAAGTCAGAGAAAGTGGAGAGGCAGCTTAAAACATGACAGTTTTATAGTTCTCACTGGACTGACCAAATTTTGACAGGCACAATAACGATATTAGCTATGTTTGACATTTTTTTAAAATCTAATAATCATGCAATTTCATTATCCAAGATACTATTTTGTTTCAAAATCAAACGGTTTAAACATCACCTGCGAAACACCTGACCGTATCGTAACTCAACGCTTTCATGAGTAGCAAAAATGTTTTTGCCCCAAAGAAACCACTTTTAATAATACTCTCAAATTTCACAAGCTTTGAATTTAAAGAACATACTGCGAGACAACAGCTTGAGTCTGTGTTTGGTTTATAAGGAAGGGCCCTGTAACATACAATTGACTCTCACTGATTAGAACGCCTGACTCAAATTACAACCATTATACAGATGGTTGTCCTTTACATTGACACAATGTTTTTGACAAAGCCAACACTGGATCTGAGATTATAAAGACAGCAAACTTTCCTTCTACATACTCCAATATGCTTTATCCAAAACATTTTTATTCATAAGACAGACTACAGACAGTTCTGGCAAGTCACTCACATTGCCCAAGGTTTAACTACATTTTTGTTTCCAACACAAAGTGACTGGTATGGTCTTGCATTGTGCTTTCTGATGAAATGCATGTCCTTGACAGATAAAAGTATGTCCTGTCTCAATATAAACACTACCAGACAGAAAACCAGGAGACCAGAAGAGTTCAAATCAGTGTGCCTGAAAAGTCTCAATTGTCAGTCCGTGAAACGCATGACTGCAGCTGTGGAACAAAAACAGGTGTGGATATTGCATTCCCAAGAGCCTGAAAGACAAGGCCAATAAACAAGACTGTTGACTTGGTAAAGCCGGTGTGCTGACGAAACATGCTACCTATCAGATCGTGCTACCAAAAATATATTTGCATTGTTTTAAGGGTAAGTTTAGTGTAAGGGTATGTATGGACGGGTAGATTTAGGGTGGTGAGCGTGATTTTACCAAGTACAACATGTTCCTGGATCAACATCATTCCAATCAACCAATCAGAATTGAGAGATAACTTTTCAGGAAATGTCAGTTTTGGGCTTACAATCAGGATTAGGCACTTCTACACCCTTGTTAATCAACTATAATTTCCCTCTGATTTTAGGAATAAATTATGGGTAAGGTTAGGTTTAGGGATGGGGATTGGGTTAAGTCTGTATTTTTGGACAGTAACAAAAGATGTTGATCCAGGAACATGTCTTACTTTGCAAAATCACGGCGACCGGTTTAGGGTAGGGGTAGGTATGAACATTAAAAAAAAAAGCCTCAAACCACATGAATAAGATGCTGGTAGCACAATCTGATAGGTAGCATTTTTCGCTATCGATTTGTGCTACCTATCTTTTTAATGGGAGGTAGCACAATCTGAGCGGGTAGCACAAATCGTCAGAACACCGGCAAAAACCAAAGAAAACTGAAGGTGACAAACTCAACACTGATTATTTGCATTTACTCAGATTTGGAAAGTGAGTTTATGTTCTCATCCCATCAAAGGCTGATCAGACTGCCTACGCCGGTGCCTAAGAATATACCTCAACATTTATGAAGAAAATATAATAATCATCACTGCACAGTGAACAACCGGTGCTCATTTCACAGCCTTATCCCATACCGATATGAAGGCGGCGTGTCTGAATACCTCAAATGAGCAAATATGTCTGAAACCGAATGACAAGATTGTAATCAAAGCACGGTCGTGTTTAACCGCCTATAAACACAAATCGACCTCAGAGGTTTTTATCTTTTAGAGTGCATAGTTCTCTAGTTATAAATAATTGGCTGGTCAGTCTGCTTTAAATGACCGGACCCTTGTTAAATATCACTCTAAAATCACTATTAACTTAGCAATGCAGTGCTTAATTGTGTTTCTTACCTCTTTCGATGGTTCTCGGGTCCAGGTGGCTCGTTTTAAGCAGCTAACCTTGTACTTGCAGGCGACCCAGCTAACGTTAGCCAGCTAACTCAAGCGCTTCACTATCGGACTATTTCGGTCTCGGTTTTGGAATACAGTCCGCGTATGAATGGTGACGATTTTTCCGACTGAAGTCACACCAAAATCCCTGTTTGTGAGATAATTAGAAAGCCGTCTGAAGGTATGTCAGCATTGCACTGCTAGCAGGAGCTCCCCGTACAGCTAATCCCTGTAGCTGCCGTCCCAGCCTGCACCAAAAGCCACATTCACTGACCGACTAAATACCCAGATGTTGGTCACTAAGGTAAGAATGTCCTTCTCTTTACTGCTAGACTCACTCAAATAGCGACTAATTGCTAACCTGTTATCACAAGTATATGTTAGCAGGCTGTGCTAGTGCTCTGTGCCAATTTTTTCCTGGCTCAAAACAGACCGCTAAACTGAGCAGATGAACCGCTGGTTTATGCTGTTAGGCCAATGATTGGTTACTCGTTGCACAACGAACGCGTGGATTGGTCGGTGGACTGTCAATCAAAAACTGTTTAGGCACGCCTCGAAAGTCAAACGTCATTGATGTCGAGGAGCTATGGAGGTAGGTTGCGGCGTAAATGTCTGAGATGGAGATTGGATGAAGACAAGGACCAGAAATGCCCGTATGGCGAGAAATGTCACCCGAGCTGTGGTCCGCTCGGTCTTCGCTGGCTCTGTTTTCCTCAAATGAGTCGCATTACAACAAAGTAATTACGCTTATAACGCCGTAGACTACTAGACGAACGATTCCACTAACGTTTCCTATTCTTAGAAAAGGATTCGGGGGATTTTTCCCCTCTTCAATTACAGAGTCCTCACTTGGAACACGCTGTTACATAACTTAAATGACACTGACCAGTGATGATGCTCCACCTCGTTCATTTATTCATTCACCCTTTCATCTATTCGTTCTCGTTCTCAGCTGAGACAATTTAATGCTTCCGTTCCAATTAACGTTACATGTTTTACTAACATGATTATATAGTTGGTTGTATAGTTATGCATAATGGTTAGTCTCTCGACCAATGTACATTTTGAGTTGCGCTGAATCTCAGCCTCGAACGTCCTCTGAACTATGTAACTGGAGCACACATAAATCGTTTAAACCTGGGAAGACAGTTTTAAGGATACAACTCTGACAGTTCAGTGGCCTTTAGTGATGATAGTGTTGTTAGTAGTTTGGTATGAATGGGTGCTTTTGAATGAATCTTTTAAGGATTCCATTTCCCTCACGAATCTTCTTTTTTTTAGATTTGTAGATGGCCATGTTCTTACTAAAGTGTAATAAAACAAGGAATCTGTCACTTACAACTCACAAACGATACTCTAGTCGCCACCTACTGGTGTAAAGCCGCAGAAGAGGTCAGTGCGCAAATCAGCAAACAAATCGTTTTGGAGAACCGGTTCAAAAGATTCGAGTCACTGAATCAAAATTGCCATCACTAATGACTTTTGTAGATCATCTTCTATAAAGATCAATTCTTAAATTGTTTTTTTTTTGCAGTGAACTACACCATTTCAAGATAATTGCATTAACATTTCAGTTTTCAGTACTTGAGAAGAGTTCACGATCCATTCCACTGTTCTCCACGATGTACTTTGTACGTTACAACCACAGGATGGCGATAGATTACCTTAACTTTGTTCCTGCCATTCTCAGTACGAGATGATCAAATATAATATGTTTGATAAATAAATAAAATGTCCATTTTTTTAATTCAGGTAAGCCTAATGTTTTAAAAGTATAAATGTTCCATGTAGTCCATAAATTATTGAGGTCATAAAACTGCATTCATTTTTTAGATTTGGGGAAAAAAGTCACTTAAAGTAGTTTTAGAGCAAGCACAGCATGTCACACTACTAGACTCTGATGTCACTGCTTTCATGTCAGCTACCCTCCGAATAAATGGGATTTTTTATTTTGCAGTGAATGTGAAAAAAAGAACTTAAGCTAATATACTGCAGTACATAGAGCCTAAATGTGTGTAATGTACAATTAGCAATAGTGTGGAAATATACGTATGGTAGGAAACAAGCAAGGTCCTCTAGCACTTACACAGGGGATTAAAATCAATACATCATGCAGAAAGTAGACCTTTGTCCAAAGAGCTGACAAATTGAGAAATGAGTATGTGTGCCTCTGAACCTTGCTGGATCAAGAGAACAGAACACGAGCACACTTACACTGATAAGAGGAAACACTGCAAGCCAAGCATTTAGTTAGTCATAATCAAAAAGTAATTTTGAAACATAAACATCAAACATAATGCTGTAATACAAAATGTTCATACTCACCAGTGATCGCTTTGTAATGGAATTTTTTTAAATTAAAAACCATACCCATTTCAGATGACAAGAACACAAATACAGTGGTAATTCATACCGTTTTTTTATTCACGGTAATAATAAGAACAGAAAAATGGCAAGAACATTGCAGACGAGGCGCCATAGGTTACAGGTAACACTACATGTGTGAGTTTAGATGACCATGAACGGCTCAAAATTCAGCACAGGTAAGGTGTACAAGCTTCATTCATAATGCATTCCCTTGCAGGAAACCCTAAAACACCATCCAGCCATCTGTGATATGATATCCGCTTCAGCTCAGTGCACTGTAAAATAAAACGGCTTATTCAGTTATGGTACATTTACTATATGCACAACTGATCACAATTGAATATATGCACAACTGTTTCCTTTATTTATACTGGTGCACAGATAAATTTGTCACCTTCAAAATATGTTACCAGAAACCCGGTAATAAATTCCACATATAGCACATTAAACAAATCTGTAGATACACACCATATGTAAGGGGGGAAAAAGTTAAAAGAAAAGCCTTCAATTACATAACAAACAATGAGTTTTGCAAATAAACATTATGGATGCGTGACAATATTTGCACCATCAAAACTGTTTACAGAAAGACAGCTGTGGTGTCTTGTGCCTAGTTGGAGGATAAAGTTGCCCTGAAAAATAAGGATGCAAGGCACTGGGGTTTCTGAGCAATGAATGTTTATCAGAGATCTGTCTTCTATGACTGGCCTCACAACATTTCCTTGTGAAACTGAACACACTAACAAAGTGCAGAGTACTAGTTCAAAGACAGACAACATATCAACTACCTAGGTTAATACTAACAATCAGAAAATACATGTCGGATTTACTTTAGCCATGTTATCATGCCCATAATCGTATTTAAATAGTTAAAACTGCAGTGAATTCAGTCAAGTGGACAAAGCAAGGAATTTTAATCATTTCATTAAATAAAGTCACACTGAGTGTGTTCCTGGAGAAAGATTTCAATGCATCTCCTTCAAACTAATGACACTATGGAACAACATGGATGTCGAATGGAGACGTGCAGAATACCTGCAGCACTCGACAGCTCTAAATTTTAGTATCTCAATTTAGCCAACTGTTAAAAAAGTGATAGTTCTCTCTCAAAAAAAAACATTTATTCACCCTCATGTCATTCCAAATCTGTGATACACAAAAAAACTGTAATCATTTGTAAAAACATATTTGACGCATATAAATAATACATTGACAAAGACAATGTTAAAGATATGCTGCATTCATATTCAGAGCGGCCTTTTCCTAGCTTGGGTTTCAGAGTAACACATCCACAGGAAGTTCATGTATACAGCATTCATACTGACAGGAAGTTCCCTCCCCTCATTCTCTCGATGCATTACCGCTTATTGTGAGGCGTGAACTCAACCAGTTTTTAGATAACAACTTTCTACACCTCTCAGATTTAAGAGCGTCTTTCCTGAACCACTGAATGAACCATTAGGGCCATAGCACTGATCTGGAATGGACCCACTGAGAAGAGAAACAAGCCCTAGGAAGAACAGAGAATTACAAAATGTTATGAGAACGAGCCCTTGAGGGAAAACCATGACAAGGATACAAATGTCTGACAAGGGTGTTCACTCAGGTTAGTTTGCTTCAGAAGGATGAAAACAGACAGGAAGGACCACAGACTGAGTCAAAATCTATACAGCGAGAAACAATCCAGCGTATTGTTGAGCGAGAGAAAGCACAAGGGTCCGGGATGGGTGGGTGTCAGTCTGCTGAAGGAAATCCACTGAAGACAAACGCAGGAAACATTGGAAACCTTTTTGAGAATGGCTATAAACATTACTGTTCAAGAGTCAGAAGCTTTGAAGAGGCCCTCTGAAGATCATAACATCACACGCACTCACTTTCAAGAAAAACAGCCCACCGATGGCAACAAATGCCAAAAAACCCTGTTCAAATTCATCAGGTCGATAAAATCTGTAAACAAAACAAGTGAAATAAATTAGCATGGAAATGGAGCTGGTGAAATGATCAAAATCATGAACATCGTATGTGTTTGCAACCAAATGTTTGTTGGTTTTGACTACAACTGTGGACCTTCACTAGTCCAAGTCATGTATAGGTTAAGCTAGGATTAAAACCGGATAATAACAAGGTTAAACGGAGGGATTTTCTTCAGGACAAGCCAAGGAAGCCAAAGAGAAGTGGCACCAGGAAAACGCAGCAGTAGGCCACTGTGCCGTAGACCATAAACCGGTACGCCAGTTCCACGTGCGCGTGTTGTCTAGCCTTCCGCACGTCATCCGAAGGCACGCCGAAGATCCTGCAGGCCAGCGGGATCGCCACTGCCTTCATAGCAGCCCTGACGGCTAGAAGCACGGCCACTCCTACCAGGAGCCGCATGATGGAGTGGGTCAGTAAGGCCCCGTCGATCAGGGGCAGGGTGAGTGGGAGAGCTTCTTCGGGGGGATCTGGCTGCAGACCCAGTTGTTGGTTCAGACGGGATGCCAACGCGGCTCCGGCAGCTGTGGCCAACGCTTGGGCCGTGTCGCCACGGGAGGTGCTCCATGAGTCCAGCGAGAAGGCCACCAAGCTGAAGCCAACATGCACAAGCAGGACGACCAGAGGGGCGTAGCTGTGGGACAGGTAGAACGTGTCGATGTCATGCAGCATGGGCTGAAGGACCGCCAGGATGAGCACACTGTAGAGAACGCCTGTGATCACCTCCTGCGAAGATGAAGGAACAAACTTATTAGATTGAAAAAGTCTGAATTCTGTCATCATTTAGTCACCTTCACATCATTCCAAACACATAAGACCTTCGAAAAACAAATGAAGATATTTTTAATGAAACATGAGTGGTTTCTGTCCCGTAACTTGTTGTTTCACATGGATTCATTTTATAACACCTTCATGACCTTTTTGTTTCTATACGTTTTGGTTACCTGGACTTTCAATGAAGGGAGAGAAACTCAGGTTTCTTTAAAAATATCCTAATTTGTGTTTCAAAGATTAACCAAAGTCTTAAAGGTTTGGAGCAATTTTTAGACAAACTTACATTTAAATTCTCATTGTTTATTCACTACTGGCCAGGCAAATACGTG